ATTTCTCTGCATTCAACAGCACTATTAAAATTTCTCAACTCTTCTATTTTAGGCCCACCATGCAGCCAGGTTTCATGTGTATGAATGCTAAGAAGAAAGGTCTCTCTGGTAATTGTGTAACACTCTGACAAGTTAATCGTACTGAAATGAGGCTGTGATACAATTCCTTTTACGTATGCATCTAATTTGTTCATCATATTATTCAATCCTATCAAGATCCCACATTAGAGCATTGCAAAATCGCCTTCCGAGACCGATCGCGCCAGGCCGCGCGGTCTGTCACAGGCCACCAGCCCAGAGGAGAGGTGAGGAGCAGAGAAAGCGGGGGAGCTCCCCTCCTCACCTCTCGCCTAGGCAGGCTGCCCGTGACAGACCGCGCGGCCTGGCGCGGTCGGTCTCGGAAGGCGATTCTGCAATGCCCTGTCGCACATCCGAATCATGCCTCTATAGGGAGTTCATACGAATAAGGGACATCCTGATGCAAAAGGCAGCTCAGCACGGTCATCTCTTCCTATGGATGATGGAGATGACCGGCATGACCGCTCACATGGAGGCCAAGGATTGGAAAACCATGACTCGGTATGGTACCAACTGCTCCACTTTTTTGGAACATAAACACAACTTTGTCGATCCAAGAGCAGCGCTCCATGCAGTGCAGCACAATATTTTACCCAACCGTGACTTTCGCATAAGGTCCGTCGAAATGACACTTTTTTCGAAATTGATATCGGCTCACCGTGGAAAATGTTCTACTAGTAGAGGTGATTAACGGTGCGAAATCGTTTTTCTGTGTGACCACTCCTTCATGCCCCAGTAGAGCCTTGAAAATCGGAAAAAACAGCAAAAACAGTGAAATGTAGGCAACACGCTTTAGACCGTTGAAAGGGCACCAGGTGGTGCTCACTGGTACTAGAGGTAAGTAAAAACATCATACTTCGACCCCAATTCGTCGTGGGGTGCACGCGAGGTTGTTCAGTTACTCTGATTAGGCGTCAAATAATGCTCAAAATGTCCAATTTTACCTAAAGTGTGGCTTTTGACTAGGGTGCCAATAGTAAAAATAAATTTTGATTTCTTAACATATTAATTTGGTTCCTGGTAGTGGACCCGAACATGAGTTCTGAAAAAAAATTGAGCCTGATACCTACCGATTTAGAGGTCGCTCAAAGCTCCCAAAGTTTCATTTTATTTCTTTTATTTGCTTATTAAGGAAAAATATTGTAGCAGCGCTTAAAACTGGTGTAAGAACACGACCGGGGGGTCCCTAGACGTATTTTTACCCAAGTAATCGATTCCCACAGTCCGTTTGAGTCTACCAGTCTATTTGTGGCCTCTGTTCCCGGAAAAACGAGAATTTTAGGGGGTTTTCTTTACATTGGAAAAGATCCAGGCGTCTCAGTGGACGCGTAAGCGTCAGAGGACCGTTTGAAAGGCATGAAAATAAAGGTTTTTTTTCATGCGCTTTCGTTTTGCAATAGTCGAAAATGTCTCTAACTCCTCCTTTGATTAA